GGAGCAGAAACAGCTCTGCAGTGGCGGTTCTAGAACAAATGTACCAGGGGGCCAGGAGGGGGGCCAGCATGTTTTCATGGGGGCACAGAAAAGCATGAAATAAAAAAACAGGGCAAAGGATTCAATAAATATTAAGATGGTCTGCATGAAGTAAAATTTCTTTTCAATTAGGTTTCATTACAATTCTATGTCTTATAAGGTCAATATACATTCATAAGTTAGGGGTTTAACATATTTGTGACTTAATTTAAGTTAAAATTACCGTTTTCTATAAATTCTGAATGAGAACTCAAGAAAAACTTGTTTTCCAATACAACTGAAGCTATCACCTTATTGTTTTTAAATAATTACTAAAACAAAATTAGTTTAAAAAAAAGATCCAGCTGAATTTAACAGTTGTAAGTTCTTTTATTTGAATAAATCTGGTTAATTTCATTTAAAATATTTAAAACAATATTTATTATTATTATACATGTATGTATGTAGTATTATTATCACCTTTTTTTATTATTATTAGTAAAACAGAATTGGTAAAAAAAAAATAATAAAAAAAGGGAAAATATCCAGCTGAATTTAACACTTCTAATTTAAGTTCTTTGATTTCAATAAATCTGGTTTTATTTTAAATTTCCATTTAAAATAATTCAAAAATATGTAGCATTCCTATTACCTCATTGTTTTTAAATAATTAGTAAAAAAGAATTTATAATGAAAAAAATGAAATAGATCCAGCTGAATTTAACATTTTTAAGTTATTTGATTTGAATTAATCTTGTAATTTTCATTTAAAATAATTCAAAAATATGTTGCATTCCTGAATTATGAAAGGAACTATCAGTAACCATGTCTGCTCCTTCGCATATCATCCATCATTACAATTTTTTTGAGTACCATGTCTTCAGGAGCCAAAACAGTGGCCAGGACATGATCTACAGGGGCTCTGGCTCCCGTTGACCCCTGTCTAGAACCACACATAAATACAGAGTATCATATTAAACAGATGCAGAAGCAGGGATGGAGCTAGGTGGTCTCCTGCCATCTTTTCTCTGTAATACAGACGATTGCAGCAGCAATACTCTGAAGGGGAATATTCAAAACATTCAAACATTTTCATATATTAACACATACTAGACAACAGAAACTAGGGGTGTGCAAAACAATCGTTATGACGATGCATCGCGATTCTAATTTTTGTGATCTACTACATCGATTCTTGAAGGCAAGAATCGATTATTAAAAAAATAAATAAATGAACAAATAAAATACAATAATGGTTGGCGCACATCAGCCAGATCAAGTGGAATACAACTTCCTGTCCAGCAGATGTCGCTGCGCATGTGTTGACGCCCGCTGCTTTGTGTCACAAGCATGTCCGGCCTCGGGATACTGAGACGAGTCATTCGTAAACAAAATATGGAGGAGACTGAGAAAATTCGCCCCCCGGCTCCATCACATTTAAAGTCAGATGCTTGGATGCATTCTGGCTTTAAAAACAAAGAAGGTAAAAACAAAATTGATATGATGCACGTAATTTGCAAAAGAGGAAATATACATTTGAATGTTTTTTATTTCATTGGTTTAAAGGACCACAGAGGCCATGTAAATGGCACTGATTATCCTTATTTTGTTATTTAAAGTTTGATGAATCCTAAGATCATTTTGTCAGTGTGTCCATGCCAGTAATAGTAATATTTGTGTCCAGTATTTGTTTTCATAGCAATACCTCCAAAAGTCATTTTAATAAATACAGCTATGTATAAATTCAGTTGCTTTCAGTTATGTATCAATTGAAGACACTATCCAGATCATACCCAGCCAGTCAGCCACTGGTAATGGCTGTATCTTTTGTTACAGTATTCAGTGAAAATATCGCAATGCATCACAATATTTCAAGTATCATGATGCATCGTGATAGAATCGCATTGTGGCATGTGAATCGTGATTTGAATCGATTAATGACTTCTTTGCCAATACAGAAACACTGTAGTTAAAGGAATAGTACACCCAAAACATGATTAGCCTTCATTTTCTACTCACCCCCATGCTGAACAACACTCTGGAGTACGTTTTTGATATCTCAAATGCATCTGGAGATCTGGGAGGCTTCTTGCTGTCTGCTGACATTCAAATAATTGAGGTCTATGGCGCCCGAGGCAGAAAGGTCCATAAAAGTCCACAAAAAACGTGTCAATATTCCTCCATACTGCTCGTCCAATGTATTCCAAGTGTCCTGAGTGGGTAGCATCCAGAATTTACTCGAAACAAAGTCATTTAGAATGTTTTTAGAGCATAAACAGTAGTGTATAGGATTCCCTGAAAGCGCGCACATGCGCGATCACGACGCTACGGAAGCCGGCAGACCAAACCAGATGAAAGTGCGCATTCAGCGTATGCTCTGCCAATAATGCAAGCGTAGAAGAAGAAATGTGCTGTTTACCTGTGCAAAGAAAGAAACAACGAAAGAAAAATGTCTGAGGACTTCAGTGTTGAGGAAGAGCATGAGTTCTTTGCCGAGCTGAATGCGCACTTTCATCTGGTTTGGTCTGCCGCGGTTTCCGTAGTGTCGTGATCGCGCATGTGCGCGCTTTCAGGGAATCCTATACACTACTGTTTATGCTCTAAAAACATTCTAAATGACTTCGTTTCGAGTAAATTCTGGATGCTACCCACTCAGGACACTTGGAATACATTGGACGAGCAGTATGGAGGAATATTGACACGTTTTTTGTGGACTTTTATGGACCTTTCTGCCTCGGGCGCCAAAGACCTCCATTATTTGAATGTCAGCAGACAGCAAGAAGCCTCCCAGATCTCCAGATGCATTTGAGATATCAAAAAAGTACTCCAGAGTGTTGTTCAGCATGGGGGTGAGTAGAAAATGAAGGCTAATCATGTTTTGGGTGTACTATTCCTTTAATTATGCACATCAATATACACACATTAAAGATGATAGATAAGAGAATTCATGCTCTTTTCAGAACTATATTTTGAATTATTTGAAGTAAAGATAAAATGGTCCTCTCCACATCCTCATCCTCTCCATGACACACTGGTCCAGAAGACGAGCTCCTTCAACAGATGACTCCTTTCACCCAGATGCACCACAGAGCGCAACTGGAAATCATTCCTGCCTGTGGTCATCAATCTCTATAACGCCTCCCTCAAGTGATTCAGACACCCCCCTCTGTAATTGACATTTATTCATTCATTTCTTGCACTTTTTTGCACATCACTATCACTTTATTTGGATTTATAGTTAAATATATATATATATATATATATATATATATATATATATATATTTATTAGGAATGCACGATATAATCGGCCCCCTATCGGTATCGGCCTTAAAACTGAATATCGGACATCGGCCACCCCACCAATATTTAACCCGATATTTGAGCAGCTTCTGAGTTTCTAAAGTCTAAAAAAAAAATAATAATACTTCTTCTTCTTCCTCAAAAACTTCTTTTTTTACAGACTTAAAAACTTCTAAAGACGAGGGAAAAATATTGATACATTAAAATATCACAATATCTTCATATGCTGATATATTGCCATTTAAAAACACCATATCAATCTCTTTTACTAATGAAATATTGCTATATGTCATCGTTATGCTACGAAATCCCCCGAAAATTCACCAAATGTTGCCATATTTTTATATGTTGATATATTGACGCGGTATCGATCTATTTTACTAACAAAATCTCACAAGAATTTGCAAAATATCACGAGAGTTTGTAACAGAACAATGAAATTTGACGAGATTTTGAAAGTAAAATAGATCGATACCGCGTTTTTAAAAATCAATTTGATATCAGCATATGAAAATATATTTGAGTATATTATTTTTCAAAGTGTCAGAAATGGATAACAAAACTGCTATTTTCAATGACTACTTGTTTTTGTCCAGCTTTAACATCGGTATCGATATCGGTTATCGGCTACATGAGTTTTAAAATATCGGCATATCGGCCAAAATCCCAATATCGTGCATCCCTGATATATATATATATATATATATATATATATATATATATATATATATATATATATATATATATACATACATACACACACACATATACATATATATATATATATATAGATATATATATATATATATGGAGCGTGTAACAAAAGTAATTCTCTCTGGGATTATTAAAGTACGTCTGATTCTGAAAATATGTTCATCCCAGAACTCAAACCTGAAAGACTTTTGTCCACTATATTTACCTTTTATTTACACAGCATAGATGTTTAAATATATCTGTGTATTTGTTAGCAAAGGCTGCAGGAAATTACAGTTTGTCTAGAAAATATGGATGTTGTGCTCGATCCTGTTGGAACAGTGCGGGTTGACCCTGAGGTTCTGGTGCCTTTCGGCCATTGACTGGCCAACCCAGGTAGGATTTTCTGGCTACGCCTCTGTGCAGAAGTGGAACCCAGCTACACTGGTGCAATAAAACAAGCTGTTTTTGTTTTCTTAAAGTAACTGAATTGAGGTGCAAATGAATCAGGCTGTTAATGTTCAGTCTCCCATGGGTGGGAGGCCAGTCAGAGCCCTCACACACCTTCACTTCACCCAGCAGGGTTTGGTTTTCCCTCTGAGCCCTGCAGCAGCAGCTGCAGCAGCAGCCCTGTCCACTTCCTGGAGTGGAGGAGCTCAGGCTGAGGGAGTGGAAGTAGAGAGGAAACTCTGATGTTATGAGCTGTACATGACAGCACCTCTGACGTCTTTCTCAGAAAAGCTGCTTTCAACATCTAAAATACTCATTCTGTGCAGAAATTTGTATTTCTAGCCCAAAAGCAGCAGCAGAAACTCTTTATATCTATAAAATCTATTTATTTTAGCCTCTGGTATAACATTAAAGTAAAACAACGTCATTGTTTTTGTTTTTGTTGTGTTTTTTTAACTGACAGTAAACATCAACATTGCTTTCATTGCTTTAAATTTAAAAGTTGATAAGAGGAAACAACAAACGCAGGCTACTCACTTGTATCGGAGCTGAATGATATCTTCTTCACAGCTTTTCTACTTCCTCTGAACACAGAATCCTTCTCTTTTTCATTCCCTGCTCTGAATATCTCCGTTTCTTGCTCTCCTCTGCATATTCTTATCCTTCCACTGAGGGAAATCTTTCAAAATGCTACGCTTCGACGGTGCCAACTGTCCCACGGCGGAGAAAGTGCTTCGTTGTTATGCTGACTTGGAAGCGGTTTACGTGTTTGGACACATCGTTGTATTTGGAGACAAGGCGACCCGGAACGCTGATCTCAGATCTGCCTTGTGTCCGGCGGTGTTTTCGGACTCCGCCCATAAAGCGCGTTCATTGGCTGAGAGGTATTAAAGGCGGGCTTACTGAAAAAGCGTTGCTTTTTGATTGGCTGGTTTTACTATCAATTACCGAGGCTCAAAGAAAACAAAGCGTTTGCTACATTTGTCTTAATGAGATTATGAAGAGTATTTATTAATTAAAATAAATAAAACAAAAATTGTATTTCCTTTCTACAGCCATATTTGTTTGCTGTTTTTTTTTTTTTACATGTTTACATCATTATTTAACCCGTTAGAATATTTGCTCGTTATAAGTAACTTATTTAATTTGATATATATAATTTTACTTTTACTGACACAAAGACCACTAATTATAATTATGTATTAATCCACTGACTTTAATTTACCACAGTCTGTGGAGCTTTGTAGATTGAGTCATACAATGGATAAATATCACACTCTAGAGGTTAAATGAGGAGAAAGAACTACAGGTGGACATAAATGGTAATGGCCTCAAGTGATGAAGTACTGATCCAAATTTAAAGAACCAATTATACTTCAAGAATTAAAAACTAATTATTTCTGATACGATCAGATTACAATTGTATATTTTTTTACACATATTGAAACTAGTGTAGTTGATGGTAGGTTTAAGGAAATTGAAAAAATGAATTTTCTAAAAGCTGCTGTGACAAAGATTGGAATTGTTATGACAATCGATTCAGGATTTTCTGTTTTGTTCAACACAGCATAAGCGGCTTCATTTTGAAACATCAATATATATATATATATATATATAATTTTTTTTCATTTTTGCAGCTTTGTAAACAATGTAGGAGAAAAAATAAATTGTGCAAAAATGCACTGATACGCAATGCCCTGGACTTCCATATCAATGCATTTTTGCACCATGTTTAGATTTGATCACTGCTGCAATTTAAGATTGGGAAATTTTAATTTCACTATTCACTGCTGCTCATTCACTGTATCAAAGCCCTACAGATGAGATTTCATTTTGTATACACTCTGTGTATAAAAGTTGTCTAAGTCTAAGACTTAGTTAAAAGAGCATTCTTAAATGTAATGGAGCAATTTCATTTGTTTTTTTCTCACTTTGATGTGTTATTTATACTCATGACACTAAGTGCTAAACATTCAAAAGGATAGCGAAATTCTGTATAACTATTCTTTATAAATTCAGCAACTCAGGCAGACAGACAGACAAATACTACAACTAATAATGATAATATTAATAATAGTAATAGCAACAATAATGATAAAACAATAACATGATAACACTATTAAAAATGAATAAGGGCTGAAATTAACCCTAATTTTATGAAGTATTAAAATGATGAAATATCGCCCCCTAGAGGCCAAACGACAGGAAAGACCAACAGGTGGCCAGGATGATTAAATGAATGGAACTGATTGAATTAAGTTATCTTTTTCTCTTTGGCCGCACTGCAGTGGTCCTCTGGCTTTGTTAGAGAGCGAAAAAAATCTGTGCTTTTGTGAATGCGCTGACAATAGATGTCCCCCTCCATTCACGATCCTGTGTTGGTGCACTGCGAACCAAAATGCTGAGGCACTTGGGTCTTTTGTCCTCAGCTTTGAATACGATGTGAGATACATTGTTTGTTAACAATGGGAAGCAGGCAAGCAGCCCTTGTGTGACACTTATCCATTCTGAACCGAGTCAAATATCTGTGTATAGATATACTGATGCATGAAAACATAGAGCATTATCACAGAGACAGGCATACTGTAACCTTCTGCATGTTTGCGATTAAAAAGAAATTGCCACATACCCAAAACAAAGTACTGTGGAGGACAGTACCAGCACAAATTCAGGAATAACAAAAAAAAAAAAAACTCATGCAATACAGCTACTACAAAAAAAAAAAAAAAAAAAAAAAAAAATCAGATGGGGGCTGATTTCATACACAATTCCCCTACAACACTAGAAGCTCAATATTGCAATAACGTTTTCAGTTACAATCTTTGTAAATGCAGCTTTATTATTGCAGAAGAAGTCGTATATAGTTTAATAAACACCATCAACAACAAATTAGAGCCAGTGGGAGTATTAGGGAGGGGCCACATTAAAGCTCAATATGGTCTTCTTTAGTTAATAAATCAAGTTTACTTAAAGATTTTTCTAAAATAAAGAATAATTTTCTAAAATAGTACAGTTATTTGTATGATTATTAGTCTGAATAAACACCAAATTAATAAAAAAATAAATTAAAGATGAAATGTGCCTGTAATAAGAAAACTCCACCAGTAGATGTCACCAGTGGAAAAGCTCACTCCCTGCCTCATTCACAAAACAGAAACCGACTGTTTTCGACTTTTTTTTTCCTAAAACCTGGATTGTATTCTTTCTCAAATTAATGGTGGGATGGAAAATAAATAACATGATACTCTACTGATTTACACTTTTTAAATTCATCGTCATGTTTTGTAAGAAGTAGGCTACATGTTTGCATCACAGGAGTTGCAGCAACAAGGTTGCCAGGTTTGCTCATAATTTACGTCTGGGTTATTTCTAAAGTATTTCTATTTAGACTCTTTTTATTTATCTGTCTGATCATGTTTTCCCTTTATGATTTTTAGTATAGATTATTTACGGTTGTAATACAAAAACCTTACAATACAATAACGTTACTGCGAGGATTGAATTGGATAAAAGGAATACCTAAATTTGTAACGGTGTTGCGTGGCATTCTGAACGGGTCTCTTTCTCCGATGTGGCAACCCGGCTGACTGCTGAGCCGCTGTGTTCCGCTGCTATCTGGCTGAGCTGTGTTTTCAGATTGGGAGCTGGACTGAGGGGAGGGCGCTCTTCAGACCAGCGCTCCCGATAGCATTGCTATAACTGACGATTTCAGGTCGTCGAATTTCAAGGAACACATAGCGCCATTATCAAGTCTTTCACATCCCACTCTAAGCACACTAACACGGCATTGATGGTAATGTATGCAAGGAAACAACCGAGACTCGGCGATGGGTAAACATTCTTTTCTCACGTTACTTATTCAGATTTTTTCCCCCTTTTCCTCGTAGCTACGCGTAGACTATCCGCCATTTTTGCCGAAACCAAAATAAGTGTTTAGAAACTTTAAAGGTGCTGCTTCAGCAGCATTGCAAAGTCGTTTATTTTCGACAGTGGCACTGAATGTTTCTCACACACTGTTTTCTATTTTCAGGTGCGACCGAAGAGATTCTCAGCCCTATCAGGTACTTATTAGCTAGCCGTAGCCTGTTAGCCTGCTAGCAGCAAATAAGATTAAAATGGACACTCTAGCTCAGGCTGATAGAAAGCACAGGCCTCAGTGCGGAAAATAACACGAAAAGTAGTGGATAACCTACACGAAAATGTAGATATAGCATAGCAAATATCCACAACATAAACATTTAAATGTTGATACAACATATAGCGACACAAATGTATCGAAAGAAGCGGTTTAGAGAAACGACAGAGGGAGTTTCCAGTGCAGATCGAAGCTAACGATAGCTAGCTACAGTTAGCCTTCTTTGCTAGCCGCTCCGATTAGGGCCCGAGCTCAATCTGTCATTTTAAGGATAAAGTCATCTTATCTTTTAACTCAACTGTCGTCCATATGTCTGTATAAGGCCGCCACTTATTTTAACTGAATAAAACCATAAACTTATTATTGGACAGCAGAGGCAGGTAGCCGTCTGTGTTTGGATATGTTGTTTACCTTATGTAATTAACTGAACGTAATTATCACTACTCTATCATTTTAAATGCTGAGTGGATATAAACTTGGTAATAGATTATGAGGTTTATGAGCAATTTTTGCAGAAAATTAAAGTGAGTTGGGGTCTGAGTGGGAAAAGCAGAAAAAAAGATATAATTGATGGCACAAAATTGGTGATTATTGAACCTTTTTTTATATTAGCAACCTATTTGTCTGTAAAGACAGTTAAATGTATATATTAGTTTGATCCAATACTTTCTCTAGACTAAAATCAACTTTTCTAACTAGATGATGCTAAGTTCCTTGTTTTGGTGCTTCCAGACTCTCAAATATTCATCCAAAAGCCATCCAGGAGGGGAACATCGGCGCGAAAAGACGCGCGACCCTGCAGATGTCACTCCTCCTTGCAAGGTGCTCAGGAGGTCTGACAGCCCGGAGAACAAACACGGGGACAGCGCAGGCCACGGCAGAGCAAAGGCTGTCCACACGCACCGCGTCAGAGAAAGGGATGGAGGTGAGGTGGCTGCAGTTAAAGAGCGACAGACTCGTGCAACGAGATGAAGGGATTTCTCTTTGTTTTTTGATGTTGGAAAAAAAAAACCTTTGTGGTCATTTGAATAGTGTGAAAGTAAAGCGTTTTTTAATAAGTTTTGCAACAGATTTCCATTTTGAGAAAAAAGGTTTTAGTTATTAGGAGATATTCTGATTCCAGCAGAAGGGTTATGACATTCATCCCAGCTAGGCTTTTTCACTATTATTTAGTAAAACCTGTAACCCAAAGCAGAAGTAATTGGTAGTAGGGACATAATTAATGTTTGAGTTAACCCAGGTTTTCAATTGGGCACCTTGTGGGGTTCACAAATGGCTGTAATTTAAAGCAGGCATCACCAAAGTCGGTCCTCGAGGGCCGTTGTCCTGCAGGTTTGAGAGGTTTCCCTGCTTTAGCACAGCTGATTATGTTGATTCCTGTTGAACAAAGGCCTGTTCAGCTGTGCAGGAGCAGGGAAATCTCTAAAACCTGCAGGACTCGAGGACAGACAAGTTTCATTTGAACGTTTTTGCACGCTCTTCATTCAAAAATAAGTTAGAGCAGCTCTGATGACTCAGAGAGATGGATATGTGACTGCAGTCAAGACAGTAAAAAACAGGCAAGATGTGTACCTGGAGGTACGACTAAATATACAAAATGCAGAAAAATAAACCTGGAAAGTGTATAGAAGTTGAATGTTCTGCTATGCAAACCATCTGGGACCTACAGGTTTGGCTGTTTTGTCAATTTCTTTTTTCCTAAGATGCTGCACACAGTTTGCAAAAAGATACCCACTTAATCATTGCATCCTCACCTTTGGAGCACAGCAGAACAGTTATGCTGCTCTGCAATGAAGCGCAGCTAACATAATTTAATCAGAAAGTAAAATTTTGAGTTCTACTAATCCAATATTTATATAAGATCTTAAACCGTGCGTACACGGTGCGATTTTTTTCAATCATTGCACGCATCTGCTGCTCACACTGTACGACTAAGCTCACTATAGTGAACCGCGCTGCCTTGGCAATTTGTGCAATTTTGTGCTGAAAGTCCTAGTAAGAAAGGGTGACCACGTATTTAAAAAAAAAAAAAAAGACGTGGCTGAGCAAACATGGCTGCTGCGGTCTGCCAATTTTGCAGACGGAACTGCATCTCACTCTTTGCATCCCTGCCATGTTGCCGTGTTTAGATCTGAGAGGAAGAATAAAAAGAAGAATCCTTCTTTGCGCATGCGTCCTAAGGGATTTGCCCACAAACTCACGATTCCTGATCGGCAGGTGGTCATGAGAGGCTGATCGCTGCTCGTAACCCCCTGTACGCTACACCACTCACGACTCACAATCAGGCTGAAAGTCGGCCCGATCGAAAAATGCTGAAAATCACACAGTGTCAGATTTAATCTATCAGCCAAATAGAAATAACATTGGAATATATCAGCCTGCATTAAAAGTCTCAGATCTAAGCTAGTTGATAGGAATGTCCTGCTTCTCTTTAAAGTTTCTATAACTTATTTAAAAAAAAAAATAAATGGATCAGTTGTCCTCATGTCTAATTTTGTTGACTGTCTTTGAGTAATATCACTTTATCGGTCCTTTTCTTACACTACAAAATGAGTAATAAAAGTAGAATTCAGGGTGATATTGTATCAGGTTCATATCAGTATTAGTTAATCCTGAAAGCTGATGTTGTTTTAGGACTTAAACATTTTAGCTTAGACCAAAATTAATATTAGATCATGTGTTTAGAAGTTAATAGGTTGTTGTGTGTCAAAGTCTGTCTAACTAGGAAACTTTTCATTACAGCATTAGTTTCGTATACTCACTCTAGAGAGAGTTCTTTTTTTTCTTTCTTTTTTCACCCATTTAGTTTTAGTTGACATCTGCAAAGGAAAATGGAATCTAAAACTTTAGACTGACAAAGCTTAGCTTTAAGTTTAGATCTACACGTTATTCATTCTGATCAAATCTGTTCGGCTTCAGAACCTTCTGACCGGATTGGACAAAGCGACACCTTGTGTCCGCCTACCAAGGTTTGTTTTTAGCCAATCACGCTAACAAATGAAATGGTATCAGACGCCATGAGAAACCACAACAACTTTTCCACTCTTGCTGTTCTTTTAAAGATGATGTATTGGCTTCTGACAAAACAGAGGCGATGACAGCAGCCAAGTGTGCATCCTCCTGCTCTGCCATGTTTGGATTTGGATTTGCCAACTCTTGCCTTCATAACAGCAATATGCTCTGCCTTAAACCATGATACTGTAGTGCGATTGAACAACCTGTTACCTGTGTCATCAAGTCTTGAACTGTTGAAGCAGAAAGTGATGGATTATCCTGTATTTGTGAATGCACACATGCCGCAAGAATGCAGCTTGCAGGCATTGTAATGTGGACAAGGATTTATAAGAAAAACTATCATCATCATATGCTGGAGGATTGGCATCGGTTATTTGTGTAGGGGTTACTTACAGAATTCGTTCTGATGGACAAACCGAATGGCAGCTAAACTATGTTTCATCCCTCTGAGATGCGGAGAGCTTTGAGAAGATAAATCCACTGTTTCCTCATGTTTATAGTGATGGCGTCCATAGAAGAAACGGCGATGGCCTGAGGCTCTTTGTCACAGCAGTTTGTGGTCTGTTACTGGGGTGAAACAAAGCTCAGGCCTCAGCCAAACGGCTGGAACATCATGAAAACATTTTCAAAGTAATTTATAAAGTTCATCAAGTGATCAGTTGATATGTACCCCTAGAAAACGTATAAGCCAGAGTTGTATTAGGTCTGCACGCTGAATGTGAGATCTAATAACATCCAATCAAGATGTTTTCTTATTCCATTCCTATCATAAAGGGTCAATAATGTGCATATTCCAGTAGCAGAAGCAGTGTCATTGTTTAAAGCAGAAAACACAGCTTAAAGGAATATTAGTTACTGAAAGTTTAGCAAATCTGCGGCTGCTGTTCAAACCTTGGTTGTAAATTTCATACTTAGCATCTAGGTGCTAACTGTAGTTTACCTACAGCCGGGCGTACACGGCATGATTTTTTTTTGGCCCTTTAGAGACGGGTTCTCCAGTTGTGCGAGAATTTTTTAAACTGGCTGAGTTTCATCCTCATCGTGCGTCCTGTGTCATGTAGTATAGAGGGGGTAACGAGGGGAGATCAGCCTCTCACGACCAGCTCCCGATGAGCAATCGTAAGGTCGGGAGAAAATCAAACATGTTTGAAGTTCAGTCAGCCATCGTGAGGTGGGCAAATCCTTCTGTTGAGCCAATTTACCAGAACCTCGAGCATGTGCAAAAAAAGGGAGTGGAGGGGAGCGCTGATTTTGACGTGTGGTTTTTGGAGATGTAGTTTGAGCAAGTAAAGCGCTTCAGAGCATCGGCCAGCACGGTTTGAGGGCATGCATTGTAAGCTGTGAACTTTTAAACCCTGCAAGTTTCGTCGTACAGTTTGAGCTGTATCGCACAGTGTAGCCCGCCTTAAGAGAGTCAACAGTGAAGGGAGGCTGAACTCCTTTGCTATTGGTGATCAGTTAAAGGCAAAACGTGGCAGCAGCTAAAGAAATCTCCACTTTTTACTTGTATTCGCTTCATTTTCTGAGAGGATGAAGCTGTGCAGCAATTATATTTTGATCAAATAGAGGAAAAGTAAAACATACATTTTTCTTTGGTTTAAGCAGGAATGTTTTGGTTATATTAATTTTCTCTTTCCTGTAGTTTATATAAAACAATTAAAATGTTTCAGGCATAAGCAGTGAAAACAGATAAAAGACCAAATGGAAAATTCTAATCTTAAAGCCTTTTACTTTGTGAAAGCAGCTTTTGAAACTTACTGATGTCAGTATCTATCAGTTCGGTGTGTCTCAGTCCTGCTACTTGGGGCGCACTGACATGTATGTTTTTGGTGTTTCTCTGCTGCCACACACCTGCCTTAATGGGCGTGTGATAAACAGGATTCTTCCTCACTTAAAGAGTGACGAGGCAATGCTAGCATACAGTTTGAAGCTGGAGCAGAGAGTCCTCTAAAACGTCAAGGCCAGTTGTCGGCGGCGACCATCCTACAGTGTCTTTAATGCACCTGGATCAGATGAATGGGATATTGCCAGGCTTCTGCAGAGCTGAATGCGAGCTGATAAGTCCTTTCAGTCGTTCAATTGAGTCAAACCTGTTGGAGAAGGAATGCATAGTAGCCCCCGAACCATGGATTCTGATGTAACTGCATTAGATTATAAAGCAGTTTAAGCTTTAAACTATTGCGGGGTTTTGTTTTTAAATGGCAAATAATGGATCTGGTCTAGATTTTTAGATATTATGAGAGCCAGGAGTAGGGATCTGTGTGAAAGATGTTCCAGCCTGCTGATTTGTGAGAAACTGGAGCGAGTTGCCTGAAGCTATTCAGAGTGAGACGTAGGGCTGGGTATCGTTTGAATCAAAATATTTTGGCTCCTATAAATTTCTTTCAAGAAAAAGGATTATAAAAGTTTACATGTTATAAATGAGTTGGCTAACTCAGTTCTGTCTGGTTGAAATAGTCTAAACCAGAGGTCACGGATTAGTCGACCGCGGCCCGAATCCGGATCCACCCGCTGGCTAATCCGAACCCAACCTGGTTTAAAACATTTATAAATTACTGCACGTTGTCCGACGGCAGTGTCTTATTTCACTTGCACTGCTTCTTCTGTTTGTACGATAAAGCCGTCCAGAGCGGCCGGCACCAGGCTAAACGTGATCCAAATTAGCCAATGAGCTGTCAGTCTGGGTTGCTGCTGCTGCTGCTACTTTTAGACACTGCAGGCAAACCTGTGGCAAGCCGGAAAGAAAGTGTGGACTGCTGGAACAACTGGTGACAGAAAAGTGAAATAGTGTGCTGAAAGATTAGGGCTGGGCGATATAGAAAAAAAAAGCTTATCGATAAAAAAAAAAAATGCATATTGATCGATATCGATAATTAATGAAAAAATTTGAAACCATATTTTATGTGCAGCTCTGCCTTGACATTTTATGATATTGCTAAATGATTTAATTATAATAAATAACACAAACACAGACTTCTAATTAAATCTTTATTTAACCAAATTTTTTAACCATAACAGAATTATTTTAAAGAAAAATAACTTAAGAGACCTGAGTTGTGTTATTAAATACTGACAAAGAATAAACTAAGGTGACCAGAAAAGTGACCAAAATAAATATAACAAATAACTAAATTGACCTTCATGTGCTCTGTGTTGTGGTTTGAGAGGGCGGCGCTTTGTGACGGCGTGCCTGGGTCTGCGATTGTGATTGGTTGGGAGGAAGTAGTGACTAGCATAAACCTACATGCTAGGCTACAATGAGAAGGAAGGAAAACTGCGTTTCTTTATCGAACTTTTATCAACGCTCTTTTTTTATATTGCGCCACACGTCTATCGATCGATATATATCGGTATTGAATTATCGCCCAGCCCTAATTTAGACCCCACTGATTTGTAATTGATTACCCGTAGTCTAAACTTTTCTATAAAATTGAATTCCTTAAACATCTAACGTTGTGTGAACCTTACTGTCAACCCTATAAACTCTATTATAATCTCGTGAATTTTCTTTTTCACATGGAGCTTTCTTTTTAAAGACAGAATTAAAGCACATTTACCTATATCCAGTATCAGATGTTGGAGGTTTTTATGTTTTCTAAGGCAATTTCATTTTTATATTTAACATATTCTGGCTTTGGTTCTAGGCTGAGTGCTGCAGGATGGCATCCTGACTGAGTTTATAGCCTTAGCATAGTTTACGGCAACTAACTTTTGAGATGGAATCTCTGAGCCAGAGCTCAGTATCTGTAGTCGTTCAGCACCAATGGATCTGTTTTGAAAATGGCTGTGGAATAGCTGACAAAAAAAAATAACAGTCTAGGTGGATTAAAGTTCTGTAAAAGTTAGTCTGGTCTCATTGCTGAGAATCTCTGTACTTTTTAAAATTCAAATTATGATGAGGCTTTGGATTTTATAGTAGCAGCAGGTAGGCTTGGGTTACAAAAGTTTAATTTGGCTACTTTAATCTTTGTAATATGATCATATTTCCTGCTATCTACTTTCCATTGCTGCAGTCCGATTGAACTGCTTACATCTTCTAGAGAATAGTTTCCTTTTAAACTGTTCCTTACGTCTCTGTTCCCTTTGACTTCATTAATAAACACCTTCAAATCAGCTAACATTGAATCTGCTTCAGTCAGTAACAGCAGCCACAAGAAAAGTATTATTAAAGTGTGTTAGTGCTTAGATAAGTCATTATTCAGTTACATTCTTAATACTAAAGTTGCACATTTTTTCATACCTGGGCATCTCTCTTTGATAAAATTATACTGCAGGACTTTAGAGCCAATCTATATGTGGCCTAACGCCATCTGAGAGCACTCTGTTCAGACAGCAAGATAACGGTGCTGAATTTTTTATTTTCTTCCCAATCCTTTCCTTCCAACAGGTCTTGATAATGAGGGTGGCTCTGTTGATATTCTTGTAAAATAATCCTGCTATGGGTGGTGTGCAAATCAGGGAAAGCAACATGTAGGATTGTTCTTGCCCCATGACCATGTGTGTGTTGCTCCCAGAGAGTAGACAAGGATGCAACCAGTTAGATAGGATGTGTAGTCAATCGGTCTCACCTGAGACACCGTTCATATTGTCTCTACTCCTTTATTTCAGTTCACTTTATTTATATAGCACCAATTCACAACACTTGTCATTCCAAGGCACTTTACAGTTCAACCAGATCATCCAGTCAGATTGATTCAAAGTTTTCTATCTAAGGAAAACCAGTTGATTGCATCGACTCATTGATTCGAATACAATCCCTCACACTAAGCATGCTTGTAGCGACAGTAGAGAGGAAAAACTCCCTTTTAACAGGAAGAAATCTCAAGCATAACCAGGCTCGGTGTGAGCGGCCATCTGCTGAGGCCGACTGGGGTTCAAGGAGACAGAAGCAGAGATACGAAAAGCAGCTGTAAATGGAGGCACACGGCCAGGCAGACGAGCTTCAAGCCAGCTCTCATGCCAGATGATGAAGAGAGCACATCCAGGCAGTCACAGTCAGAAAAACAGGACCACACTGAAAAACAGGCCGATCTCCAACATTTATAAACAAAGGTGTCGATGGCAGCAGCACAGCTGATATTTCTCTCCAGGATGGAGTCATAGCCAAACAGGAACAGACCAGATGAAGCTACTATGAGAAAAAGCAGAGTGAGCAGAACGTTAGAGATCGAACTAACAGATTCTGCAGAGTGGGAGTATAGAGATAGTTAAGGTCTAAATCAGGGGGTCTTTAATGTCTTTTCCTACTGTCATCAAAATGGGTCCAACAAGTATCTCCACTGCTTCTCCTTCGTTAGTCACGTCTATCTGCTCTGAACTCTGTTCTTGTTCTCGAGAACTTTGCACAATGTTCTTTCTGTCTGACATTGGAGTTTTCCTGAATAGGTTTCTTGTCCTCACCATGTAGCTTTACATTACACACTGTAGGAGAACATTGATTGATTCCTCTCGGTTTGCATAATATAAATGACATGGTAGTAACAAATGTTAAGTCTGTTTAAACAAAATACATTTTTTAACAAATGAATCTGCCTTGTGTCATGGCAGATTTCAAAACATGGGCCTGCTGATGCATTGGTCTGTCTACTAAAGCAGACTTTAGATGTGGAGTGAAGTTTCAACCATTATTATTGAAAATTTTAAATTTGATTCAGTTGGAAAAAAGGAGTTTATTGTAGCTTTATTCTTATTGGTTGTAAGACTGGCATTTCTTTCAATTGTCAGTTTTCTCTTGTATCAGGAATATTTTTCCATAACATGGACTATATATATAATTTTTTTTTACACTGTTAAGTAAAAATAACCCCCCAAAAACCTACTTCATATTTTAACACTTTAAAATGGCTCGATGTAATCAGCGGGTTTTCCTCAGAAAACTTAAATCTCTGTATGATCTGATTGAATTCATGTCTTGTGAATTTGCCCTATAATACTGAATTGAATATATTTGCTGGCTGTATAAAATCTAGACTGAATAAACTAGGAATGTGTTCTTAGCCGTTATTCAACTTTAATACATTTATAAAGTGTAACAGGAAAAAACAGGAGCCATTAAGTTACTGAATAAAAAAAAGTGAATAAATGTATAGAGATGTAGAAGTATCATTTGAACTGCTAGGCTAAGTTCGCACTGCAGCCTGAAGTGACACAAATCCTATTTATTTTGCCCATGTACGATCTGTATCTGATCTTTTCATGGCAGCCGAAACAACACAGATCTGATGTTTTCCAATGCGACCCAGGCCACTCGGCTGTGTGGTCCTGAATCCGATGTAAATCTTTTTCAAATACGTCCTGTGTGAACGAACAGTTGCATTCAGCCGACCTGAACGTCGTCAATACTCAACAAAGGTCGCTATTTTACGTTTTGCTCCGTAGAAGCAAGAGAAAAAAAACAACCATGGCTGACAATGAAGCATAGAGCTGCCGGGTTTTTTTTGTTTTTTTTTTACCATCTTGAAAATATTTAGTTTTTAAGGTTGGGAAAGATTGTTAGAAAGATTGTTAATTTAGACGTTCATAAACTGTTTCAGAGGAGTGATCATAGCGCTCTGTATCATGAGCGATCTGTCTGTCTCTCTGCCAGCTCCCAGATCAGCTTCTCTGATTGGTATAAGCGGCGCGTCGAGCAGCAAAAGTTCAATTTTTCCATCTCGAGCAGCAGCGCGTTTGCGTTGCGTCGCGTCGCTCGCGTCAGATGCTTGAACACTCCCGACGCACTGCTTCAGCTGCTCAGACGTGCTGCGGGACCTTTTGCTGCGCCTTGACGCACGTCAACCATTGACTTTGCATGTGAACTCGCTGCGTCCGGTGTGAACGCAGCATTAAAACTTTGCTCCATAAACTGCTTTAACTCATTAATGCCTTCACCTTCTACTGTGCTAATTGCTAGCATGTCTTTTTCTATCCTTACCTTGAGAGCACAGCAGGGAAATTACGCCACTTCTCCATGCAGCACAGCTATTTAGGCGATAATTTACAAAGTTTATAGTGTTTACTAACAGAACCACATAAAGTTAATTCTATATAATGCCATTAGATGCTGTAAATATTCTTGGACGGGTCTCCTTCCAATCATGCTTCCACTGTAATATTTTTTTGTTTCAAATAAGCATTGTGTGGAGCTCCCTATAATACAGTGGAACAAATTTTTACCTAATAAACCAGTAATCAACAATAAGTCGATTATTTATCCGTTTTCGTCTCTAGTCGCTTTACACTTTCGTTTAATCTGATAATTCATGAAGTTTTTTTTTTTTCTTACAGGACCCAGTTATTCTCCACAAGAAAATTCCCACAACCACAGTTCCCTCCATAGCTCCAACTCTCATTCTAACCCCCACAAGACCTCAGACACGGTACGTATTGTTTCTGCTAAAGCTTTGAAGCTAATGCTGTCATAGTCCCGGATTTGGGGCAGTAAACACTTCTACTGCAGAGTTTTATACAAATATTTCCCTTTCAGCAGTTTGCAGTAATATAAGACGTATTTGAATTGATTCTATCAACCTCAAAAAAAAAAAAAACTCTCAGTGACGTCTTTATTGGTTGGACATGTTTGCTTGTACTAACTTCCCTGCTGGAAAACAATATGATGAACAGCAGTAACAGAAACTTTTTTTGTGAATCTGTATCACAAGTTCTTCAGCATCTAACATTAATTTCTAAGCTCATAGCCCAACCAGAGCCCACTGCTTTTATCCATGCATCTGTGTGCATTTCACATCGGATTACAACCTCTTGCATCAGGCTCTCAACATGAGCGCTTGTCTTTTATTATTACTGGTACCCTACACTGCTAACTGCGTTTCTCACCTCAGCCTTACGAGCCTGGAGACGACTGGTCCGAGCACATCAGCTCCTCTGGGAAGAAATACTACTACAACTGCAGGACAGAGGTGTCCCAGTGGGAGAAGCCCAAAGAATGGCTGGAGAGGTAATGCTGGACTTTATAGATTTGATTTGGCGCACAACTGTTAAGACGCGGAGGGCTCACAGGAGTTGTTTTGCATTTGGCAGAGAACAGAGGCAAAAGGAGGCGACAAAGACCGCTGTTGTCAACAGTTTCCCCAAAGACAGGGACTACAGAAGGGAGGCCATGCAAGCAACAGCAGCCCCAGGCTTTGCTGGATCTAGTAAGTGTTACATATAAGCTCAACAGTGACGAGCTGCGGGCTTTCATCTCTTTCTCTGGCTCACAGATGCTCTGTTCGTTTGGTCTTTTGTTGAAGATGGTTAGCTTTGGAAGCTCAAAGGATGACATGTTCTAATCGGGACAACAGACAGACTATGAGGCTTTTCTAAAGTCACAATAGCTGTGAGCGAACACATCCAGGCCCTGGCCCTGCTTTATCCAACTCACATCTTTAGGGTTTAAAGTTGGAAGAGGTGAAGGTGTGACTTGGAACCAAGCTGCTAGCTTTATCTTAGAGGTTTAGCTTCTGCTTTAATGGCTGTTTGGGTTAGATGTTTCCCTTTGGGTAGAGGCTGATTTTTGATTTAAACAGGGTAACTGGTTTTTAGATTTGATCTTTAAACTTATAAATCTGAGGCGATTTTCCACTGAGGGCATTTTTCCCCATTTGAGAGTGGTAGTTTCCTTGCCTTTTGAACCTAGAAGATGAATAAGGTTAATATTGTCGACTAAATGATGAAAAATAGAAAAACAACAATTTTATTTAACTAAAAAACAATTTCTTTTTAAAAAAACTAAAACTTACTGAAATATATGTGTTGCTGCAGTGGTCTGTACTTATTCGTTTTTTTGGACGTCATCCGCTCGCGCTGGCTACAGTTGATTCATCCCGTCCTCTGAACTGCTGCTAGTTTTCCTCACATGCCTGGAAGATGTCTAGTGCTGCTACCACAGATGATCTCGCTCTTCAAATGGAATTGAACGATTCAGATTAGCTAGAATGAATATAAGGGGTGGAGCGTAGCCTCCTATGGCCCGGGCTGCCTGTCACAACTCCAGTCCGCATGCGGATGACGTCATACACACTCGCTTTGTTTTAAAAAATATAAATATAAAAAATATAACCACGGATGTCTGGGGGGACAGTGATTGGCCTACATGTTATGAATGCTGGCGTACCATAAAGAATAAATTATGAACAGTTTAGTTTGTGCCTTCAACTCATTGCTCATAGGAAGACGTTACTTGGATATAACCTTTAAAATAAGAATTTGGTAGAAAAGGCATATAAAGAATAAAAACAAACACCAAGTTGGGGGAGTGGGGCCTATTGGTTCGGGCATAGAGCCCTGAGGTTATGAGATTGAGCCCCACTGCCACTCTGGATCCCTGAGCAAGACCCTTAACCCCACAGCCCACAGCTCCCCAAGGGGATGGGTTAAATGCAGAGATACATTTCTCCAACGTGAGATCAATAAAGTTCAATTTTATTTATTTATTTTTTTAATGGAATAAAATGAGAAATTGGTGATGTATTAAAACTAGGGGTGTAAATCACATCCATCATGGCGATTCGATTCAGTATCGATTTCCTGACCCAACGATTTGATTATTTTCGATACTTAAGAATACACCACGATACGATTCGATTCGATTAATCGGTTAATTATTATTATTTATTTATTTATTTTTTTTTTTTTTTTTTTTTTACACCTTACAGGCTAAACAAAGTTTCAAGTTTGAAATAAATCAATGAAAGCTGTAATATCATTATGCATTTTCTTTAGAAACAACAGCAAATAACAGAAGTAGAAAAGTTGCATAAAAAAATACTGCACAATATCAGTGTAATGAGTTCAATGCAATACCTCGGCTCCAGAGAAACTGTCCAACATATTTTTTTTAGAATGTAATAAATATATTCAGGAAAGAGAGATGTTGCTTAGAGAGTTAGACAGGAATAAAAATAAACTACAAATAAGGGAATTGTTTCAAAGGTCATCTGGGGATGTAGTTTTTGGTAGTATTTTTAATTTTCTAAGAAGAACGGGTATTTTAGGGAGAATATAATAGTTTGTCTGGTCCATACTCCATTCTGGAAGGTGGCGGTAATGCACCTATAAGTTGTTTGCCAACTGCCATTAAAAAAAAGAAGAAGAAGAAAGCTCCAGAGTGTTGCGTCACCGCCCCCTTCGCAGACGCTCCGCTGCTCCTCTCCCAGATTGTAGCTGACCGCAAACAGTGCACCAGACAGGAGGCCGGCTTGTTTTGTTTTTATGACCGAAATTGCCGAAAACAACTCGTGAAGTTTGACCCGCTAGAAGAGCGAGGTGCGCGAGACCGCTGGGAGCCTTTTTCCAGCTGAATCTCCGCTCTTTTTGGCCCTCATGTCCCTCCGTCGTCGGCCCCCACTTCCTCACCGCCTCGGCCGTATCTAGACCCACAGCATGTAGCACAGACCACGCTTCAATACTGAGCATAATTTAAAAATGTCTGTGTGAAGCTTGCTGCAACAAACTGCTGTAAGAGTATAACCAGGAAGCGAGGTAGGAGGGCAAAATAGGTTTAGCGGCACCGCAGCACGGGAGGGAGAATTACGCCCAGGAGTAAATGGATAAAAATAGACCGGAGGGAGAAAAAAAAAACATGAATCGATTATCTTGCGGACGTATCGATGCATCGGATCGTCGGCTTTTGGATCGATGCATCGATACAAAACGATTATTATTTACACCCCTAATTAAAACGTACACAGAACCAAACCCTCACTGTTACTGAGAGACTGTTATCGTATAACAAGCCCAGTAGGTTATCTGTCTGCAAATTCTTACTCACCGTCCCGCCACTGGTGTTATGAGTGGACATGATGAGCTGCGATGTTCTGAACTCGTTGGTACAGTCATGTCTTACCAGACCAGAACAAAAGCACTGAGCAGACATGAGGGATCCCTGTTTTAAGTTTGGAGAGCGACGTCCTGTTGTCTGGGGGAGTGAAGATTAATCCGTTCATACAGATTCACACTAACTTTGCTGCAGTGAACCTGAGGCGCTACGCAGTATGCAAATGGCTAGCTGCGGCACATTTAGAAAACCGTACAGTTTGTTTCATGTACGGCGTTGAATTATTGGTAGGAACTCCTCCAGAATAACCTTGGGCTGCATGTCCTTGGGTTCCGAATAATAGAAAACATTGTGCTTTATTACTACAGAGCATTTAAATGTTACCTAAATGCATCATTGTTACATAGATGAAGTGGAAGAATGGGTATTGCAAAGCGCTACAGAGGAGGGTAACTTTTATTGGACCAAGAAAATAACTCATTGAGATTAAAACCTATTTTCAAGAGCAACCTGTCCATGACAGCAGCAAAAATCAGCCAAAAATTAGAAATATGAAACAAGATAGATAAAACTCATTAAACATTAGGACAGTTACAGATGCAAACTGATCCAGCAGCTTTTCTTTAAGATTGATTTGAATTCCCTCATGGTAGCTTTGAATCCTTCTGTGCTTCCAGGATGCTAGGGGAGACAATTTAAAGGCTTTTCAACGCAATTTCAGCTTAAATTTTTGGATCTGCATCCAAATTTAGTCCTGAGAGAGCAGACTGGTGGGTGAACGTTCTAGAAACAGAAGAGCTTAAAGTGACGGGAAATATTTCCACAGCTACTTCTATAAAGACTAACCAGTAACAGTCTGCAAGCTCTTACAGACTGGATACAGTGTGCAGTCATGTCTTCGATGAGATGCTTTAATAGGAGCTAATGGACTGATTATTATGATTCAATGAATGACTGCACATTCCTGCTACGCAACAGGAGGAATATCCAGAAGCAAAGGCTGCACTGTATTCTATAGCCTCAGCTTTACAGCTACAACTCCTGCATTCAGGACAGTTAGCATCCGTTAGCAACCCGTTGTCTGCAGCTGCATCATCCTTGTCTGCTTGAGATGAATAACCCCAATGATTCCAATGATGTTCATATGGGACTGAAAATAAGGAGCATAGAGCACTGGTTGTCTGCTACATACTGCATGAGAACCCAGAACATTTATTCTTGTTTTCATTGTTGCTATAAAAGAAAAAAAAAGGGGCATGTGGTTCGAATCATCTTAGTTCTCGTATATATATTTCCCATATGTTTCAGAACTTATGGACAGCAAAATCTAGTGATGCTTGTAGCTAGTGATTTGACAGGGTTTCATACTGACTAGAGGAACTGATGCAACCTGGCACAAGACAAAAACACTAAATTTAAAATTTAAGCAGTATTTCTATGTTTGTTGGCAGCAGAGTGACTGTTTTTATTGTCCTCCACCTGATGGTAAATATCCCACCATCACTGCTGAGTCATGTTTACGATGTGGGGAAACTTTTTTTTTTCCTTCAACTATTTGGAGGACTTGAGTGGAGGATTTCTGATCCTGTTGTCCCCATTTACCTAATTACCTATTTGTAAGGAATATAGTAATTTATTTATTTCAGGTCAGCATACAGGACTTTGCATGTGTTGATGTTCTGTTAGGGCTTCGCTGTGCTCTGTAGCTAACTGGTTAGCATCCTTTAGCTTTTACTGAGCTGCATGACTTTTTACTTCTTGTTAAAAGGAACCATCCAGTTTATACAAGTAGAATATCAGATGTTTTCTTTGTGCAGTATCCTCTACTCTGAGGAAATTGTTTTTTTTTTTTTTTTTTTTTGATGGACATAAACGGTTAAATTGAAAATTAAGCTGGTAAACATGCTTGGAGCACATTAAACGCATGTGTCAGTTTGCACAGCAGCAATCAGGGTTTTTTCTTTTCTCCAACTGAAAGTTTCTTTTTCACAGATAATGCTTCACTTTCTTAAAAGATGTTCTATAGCTGGCTTACCTTGGATACAGTAGTACTGCAGTGTTACAAAGATTTTTTAATATTTTAACTGGTTTAATCATCCATTTTTGTCAATGAATTGGTATTTGTAAAGTCTCTGGATATTATTTGTTGTGAATTGATGTATAAATACACTAAATGCAGTTAAGATTAGGGGTGGAACGGTTCACAAAATCCACAGTTCGGTTCACGGTTTCGTGGTCACGGTTTTCGGTTTGGTTCGGCATATGTTGATTGTTACACCGAAATCGCATAAAAAATAATGAAAAAATCCCCAAAAAATTGATGAATTGTAATTGTTTTTAATATTGTAGCAGAGCTACGCTGCTTCGCTTCTTCTTCTTGTTTACTACTGGTGGTTGGCTTTGGTCGCAGTACCGCCATCTTCTGCTCTGGATAGTTCACGCTTCGCCTATGAGAAAAAGGAGCAGCGCATGAACCGAACACAACACACGCAAACCAAACGGTTCGGACGGTTTTCATAAACCGTTCCATCCCTAGTTAAGATATGGTTATATTTAGATCCCAGAAGTTGGCATGAGTACCTGCATGAAATGAGAGTGGAAAAAACAGAGTAGAACCACTACAGGGAAAAACACAACACACTAGCAACAAGACAAACAAGTATCAAATACACATCTATATAAAGGTTCAGAGGTCTGTAGCTGCAGCTTAGGTTTTAGAATTCATGTGCATCTGTGGACACCTGTGAACAAGAGATTTATTGTGTCTGTTAAGACCTGAGTCAGAGGAAGCATGTAGATCATGCATGTTCAAAGTCAGTACTCAAGGGCTGTTATCTTTTTTCGTGAGTTTTCACTGTCTCACGGGTTTAACACGGCTGATTCTGATGACTGCAGTTCAGCAAAAGGCTGTTAATCAGTCATCAGTGGAAATGAGCTGTGCTGAAGCAACGAAACCTCTAAAACCTGCAGGACAGCAGCCATCGAGGGCTGACTTTGGACATGCCTGCTGTGGATATTAAGGAGGAGTCCTAGCATGGCCCCATGGGGCACCCCACATGGAATTTCTTTGTTATCTGATGTAAAGTTGCACACTGACAAAAGCAAGTCACTGTGCTTCAAGTAGGATTTAAAGCATTCAGCTGCTGTACCAGAAAGGCTTCCACAGTTTTCTGAAATGAAACTGAGTGATAAGCAGCGTAAAATGCTGCGCTATGGTCCAATGATGCGGACGACTTGACAAGAGCGATCCACTCTACTGTGGTGAGCCTGACTGGAAGACGGCAAAGCTTCTGGTCATTGTTAGGAATACTCATCATTCCTATGCAAATTATTCTGCAAAACTTTTATATCATTGAATCCATATTACTCATTTGCATAGTTAAAAATATAAATATGTAGTGAAAATATTTCCTCTTGCACATGAAGTTTAGTTTAGAGTTGGTTTTAGCTATGAGTTTTCGTTTTGACCCTGATTGTCATTGCAAACCTTCCATAAACCTCCAATGTTTTTAACTCTAGTATCATTAAAGATTATACATTTTGTGGTGTTTGTTGTTGAAGAATATAACAAATGGAGTTTAAAATGTCTCCATGTTTCTGTACAGTATGATTTTTATGCATCATAAACCTTCATTTCAGTGTAAAATTCTTCAAATAAAGTCAGTCAGGTTCAATTTACATGTTTGCTAATGTGATTGAGTAGCTGCCGAACTTCTACTAAGGTTTTTTAAACAGGAAAAAAGGTTCCCCCTTTGCTCCTAAAAGATGTTTACACACTTCTGGCTGATTTAACTAAAGTCTGATGCTCTTTAAGTGCAACACGTTTAAGGCTGCAGCTTCTCTCCTTTCTTTGACCACAGAGTCGACTCCGGTGGAGAAGCCCACAGCGACTCTTCCCAGCCAGTCCCAGTCCTCCTCCTCGGCTGCGGGGAGCTTGAACCCTTCATCGGGGCCGCCAGGATCATCCGCCTCCACCGTGCCTGTCTCCCCGGTCCTTCAGTCACCAACCCCCCCGATCCTTCAGGACCCCAATCTGCTTCGCCAGCTCCTCCCAGCACTTCAGACGGCTCTGCAGCTCAACAACGCCAGCGTAGATATGGCAAAAATCAACGAAGGTGAGCAAACATCAGAGAATATGAATCAGTTTATCTGATGCTGTTCTTTGGCCTGCGTCCACGCTCAGATTGCTGCTCAGCTCTTTTGTGTAGCATGAAGTATTCAAGGGATGAAAGGGAGGCAGTGTCTTTGCTCTGAGGAACTGTTTGTTTAATAGGCAGGTGCGTCCATCCGTTCCCCAGGTTCACTGGTGCATTCAGCAGCCATGCTATGAGACCAAGTAAGGCTGCTGCTCTCTGTTTGCCACCATTCGTTAATGTTTGCTTTAATTTGTTGTTTTTGTCATGTAAATGAAGCAAAAAAAGAATAAATATCAGCTTAAAGAATTCGTCCCCCAAAAAAACCTGATAGGTTAAATTCTACTAGAGATAGAAAGATGCATCTTATTGGTATCTGCCTTAAAAAAACAAAAACCCAACTATCTGTTCACCGTTTATTTCTCCTGCAGACACATTGAGCTTAAAGGAGTAGTACACCCAAAACATGATTAGCCTTCATTTTCTACTCACCCCCATGCTGAACAACACTCTGGAGTACTTTTTTGATATCTCAAATGCATCTGGAGATCTGGGAGGCTTCTTGCTGTCTGCTGACATTCAAATAATGGAGGTCTATGGTGACCGAGACAGAGAGGTCCATAAAAGTCCACAAAAAACGTGTCAATATTCCTCCATACTGCTCGTCCAATGTATTCCAAGTGTCCTGAGTGGGTAGCATCCAGAATTTACTCGAAACGAAGTCATTTAGAATGTTTTTAGAGCATAAACAGTAGTGTATAGGATTTCCTAAAAGCGCGTTCACAAGTCTACGGAAGCCGGCAGACCAAACCAGATGAAAGTGCGCATTCAGCGTCTGCTCTGCAGATAATGCAAGCGTAGAAGAAGAAATGTGCTGTTTACCTGTGCAAAGAAAGAAACAACGAAAGAAAAATGTCTGAGGACTTCAGTGTTGAGGAAGAGCATGAGTTCTTTGCCGAGCTGAATGCGCACTTTCATCTGGTTTGGTCATCATCCTGTTTCTGAATTAAACAGCTGCACTAAATCAGACATGCTAATTTCCCCTTCTTCGCTGTCAGAGTCACTTTCCGTGCCGTGCGGCTCCTCGGAAATGATGCCGGCTTTTGCGAAAGCTCGAACAACAGAGCCAGCAGACACGTTAGTCCAAGCATCAACAATCCATCCGCTAACTGTGGCGTGACTTGCCCGGCGCCGCCTTCTACTTTTCATGAAACTGTGGTCTCCGTCGGTCATCCATCGCCTCCACGCCGCTCGCAGCCTTACTTTGAACGGCCGGTTCACACTGATGTCGAGCGGTTGAAGTTCCTTTGTCAGACCTCCCGGAATAACAGCGAGCACAGCGTTCATTTGTTTCACAGATTAACAGCGATGGTGATGCGTGGAAAAAAGCACCTGGTCTCCTTACATTCACCTCCCTCAGCCACTCTTTCATCATCTCCTCATCCATCCAGCCCTTTTCATTTGCCTTAATAACGACTACAGCTGGAAAAGTCTCTTTAGGCAAAGTCTTTCTCTTAAAAATCACCATAGGCGGCAGTTTCTGTCAATCCACGCCCACACTTCCCCCTTTAACGTTCTCATGGTGGTCTCAACAACGTCGCACTAACAACACAAATAGGACGCACCGCTCTATAGGGCGCGCCACACATTTTGAGGGGGAAAAAAATACGTTTATATGCGCCTTATAGTCGCAAAAATACGGTATTTGATTTAACAGTGCTTTATTAATCCAAAAGAGAAATTAAATGTTGCAATAGCTCTTTTTTTTTACCAGTTACTGTATGTGATAATAGCTGTAGGCTAGAAGTATCTACTGCATCAATCGGTCTGGAGAAGCCTCTGACTGAAGACACTGAAGATGATGCTCTCTGTTGTCCATAATGTCTCTATTTATGAAGAAGTCTTCTTTATAAATCTACTTCAGATGCTCTAGAGGAGTTCTGAGAACAGAGAGAGCCTTCTCTATTGACTTGTTGAGCTTTTTTAAGTCTAAAGTGTTTGTCCTGTTTGTCTGCTGTGTTAGGTTTGTATTCAACCGAACATAGAGATGCACCTTTCCACTTTTTCCCATACGATACTTGGGCTGAATCGTCCGATATCAGACCAAGTCTGTTGCACAGATCTCTATATCAATGAACCTGTATTACAGTGTATTGTATTAGTAAAAATGACTTGACCTGATCCAATTAATCAAGCAGAGCATTGGAACGTGTATCTCTAACTGAAGAGCATATTTATAGACCCGAGTGGTTTTCTTGTGTATGATCCATAAGGTAAATTCTGGATTGAAATCTGTTTTATATTTACTGAGCTTATTGATCACCTTTTTAGGCTTTGTTTCATATTTTTTCATGAGAAGGTACCATAGAATATTATTATAAATGGCCGATTACAAGCTGTGAATTACTGCCACTTGATTACCTGCATAAAAGCTTCTCACTTTGCTCAGAAGAGCATTGTCATTGTTTAATAAGTGCAGCCTGGATGGAAATGGAGAGAAAGTGCTTTATTTAACATTTTACTAACCTATTTTGAATAAGTAATCTAAACTGATCCTGTTGAATAATCGTCCTCTCCTGAAAAGTCTCGAAAGTTGCTGTGATATAAACGCCAAGTAATGAAATCATCAATGTCTTTGAGCTAGTAGGGCGTTCAGCATCCGCCAGAGAAGTAACCATTATCGTATTGTCTGTGTACTTTTAGTAAAACTTTATTCAGGGTTTCAGAGGTTGATTAAAAATCATTAAGTCATTAAATGATTATTTTTCAAATTAAGGTCTGAATTGGCATTGAAATTCATTAAATGTGATTATTGTGGCATTTAAAATGCTTTATTTAAAAAGCCGTATTTTCAGAAAAGAAGCTTGAGGTGGAGAAAAAGCTGGAGAATTGGAAAATGCAAATTTCAACAAAAGTGGCTGGAAATTGAAGAATTTGGGACATGGCTGCAGCTTGTCGACTGTAAATATGATGCAGGATTTTGTTGTGTACATATGAGAGTCATGGGTACTTCTTGGTGGTAAGGATGCACGATATTGGGATTTTGGCCGATATCCGATATGCCGATATTTTAAAACTCATGTAGCCGATAACCGATATCGATACTGATGTTTAAGCTGGACAAAAATAAGTAGTCATTGAAAATAGCTGTTTTGTTATCCATTTCTGACACTTTGAAAAATAATATACTCAAATTTATTTTCATATGCTGATATCAAATAGATTTTTTAAAATGCGGTATCGATCTATTTTACTTTCAAAATGTCGTGAAATTTCATGGTTCTGTTACAAACTCTCGTGATATTTTGCAAATTCTCGTGAGATTTTGTTAGTAAAATAGATCGATACCGCGTCAATATATCAACATATAAAAATATGGCAACATTTCGTGAATTTTCGGGGGATTTCGTAGCATAACGATGACATATAGCAATATTTCATTAGTAAAAGAGATTGATATGGTGTTTTTAAATGGTAATATATCAGCATATGAAGATATTGGGATATTTTAATGTATCAATATTTTTTCCCTCGTCTTTAGAAGTTTTTAAGGAATAAAATAAGTTTTTGAGGAAGAAGAAGTAGTTTAGTAGTAAATATCGGTGGGGTGGCCGATGTCCGATATTCAGCCTATGTTTAAAGACCAGACCATCAGGGTAAATCTTAAAACAAACTCATCTTTTAAAAACTATTATTCAAATAATTAAATCTGCCACTTAGTTTCAGATTACACACAAATTGAAAGAACATTGAAAGGAGAAAATGGGATCATGGAAAATCTGTAAAAATCTGCCTGAGCCTCATCTAAAGGATCACAGATCTAATGAGCAAACAGCCTGACGGTGATCACTGGAGATTGATCGATACGGCGGCCCTAAGTTATCTGCGGCCATTATTGGCAGTTTTCTGTGTTTCGTCTTGTATTGGTGCCAGCCCATATGTGCAGAGGAGAGAATGCTAGAAATGAATTGGTTAAATGACCCGCTGTGAGTTAAATAAAAAAATATCCTACAGTACAAGGCTTCAAATGTTCAGTTGTGGGAAAACTTTTAGCAGCTTTGTCCTATTTATGGGTTAATTGTTGATTAGGATCAATTTTAAACCGATTTTCATGACTAAATTAATCTGATATTAATATGCTGTGCATAGTTATTGTTGTTAACATCCTCCAAACATCTCTGGAACACTTAAGATGCATCTGATATACAAACATTATCATCAGATTATTATTTATGAGCTTTTTCCCTTTTTCATTTGCAGTCAAGAAAAATAAACATTGTGGGAAGAAATATATTAGAGCTGGGTTAAAAGAAAATAGATTCTAATATTGATTCCTAGAGATTGGTTCATATGACCTGAAATCAGTGAAATCAGTGTTTTGTTTTGATTTCCTGTTGAATGTTGATTTAATACTAGAATGAACATATTGCATAGCTGCAGTCATTTAATTCAGTGTAATTTATTTCATCTAAAGATTGTTTTAAATATCAGAAAACCAATTTAATATCCTAAATTTTGAGAATCAATCTTGAGCTTTACCAGTTTATTAGGGTTCCTATAAATTAAAACACAAACTGCGCCTCCTTGTGGTTTAATTTCTCAACTGCACTCATTAAGATTCTTTCATACTGATCAATAAACCAAGAGAGATTAAATGAAATTAAACTGCATAAATATCGTACTACAATCAGGATACTACAAACCTGTAATATAAACGTTTTCTGTCTTGTAAAAGCATCTGGATATAATTATTTATTTCAATTTTAACAAGCTTTCTGTGCAGAGATCTGATTTAACTTAAGAAAAACCACCTAACCTTAGCTGCTTTGTCAGACCGCATAGGAAGAATTTATCTGTCTTTGGAGAACTCTCTGACATACAGAAAAAAAACATTAAACACTTTTCATCTTAAATTAAATTAAATGAAAAAAAAAGACCTCCAAAATGTCTTTAAACAAAAAAAAAAACAGCTAATTTTCCTGAGTAAAATCAACAGACAGTGAATAACTTTATTGAATCTCATTGAAGAGGATTTGCATTTAGTTCCTGTCTTAACCGACTTCTCTCCCGTTTTTGTTTTTCTGTAGTTCTCACAGCTGCCGTCACACAAGCTTCATTACAGTCTATGCTCCACAAGATCCTCACAGCCGGACCGTCGGCTTTCAACATCACTACTATCCTCTCTCAAGCTGCCCAGCTCTCCAACCAAGGTAAAGGACGCTTCTGTTTTAATGCTGCTTGATGCACACTGGTTGGTCCTAAAGGCGCCTCATCGTTTTCGTTTTTTTTCTCCAACAGCTCAACAATCAAATCAGTCACCAATGTCTTTAACGTCAGACGCGTCGTCGCCGAGGTCCTACGTCTCGCCGAGGATCAGCACGCCGCAGACGAACGTTGGTCCTTTAAAGCCCCACCTTAGCGCACAGCCCGTCATCTCACAGCCAAAAGTGAGTCACGAGAAAAAAAAACAACAAAAAGAAGTGCTTCATGTGGGGAATAAAAAAAAAAAAGAAAATTAAAAACAATCCACTGGACTTTGTTTTCTAAGTTTGAAGGCATTTCGCTTTCCATCCAGGAAGCTTTTTCAATTCAAAATATGTGGAAAGGTAAGTAGTTATTTAAAACTGATAATAGAAAATCAATATCTGCCTCGTGTGCTCTGACAAATTAAGATAGGATTTAGTTTTATGTATTCATTTCGGGGGGAAAAAACCCGGCAGTCATCCGCGAAAAACTGTTTCCAGCTGTCTACCTCAAAGCATTTTTATATTTTCAATAAATTAATTGAAAGTGAAGTGAACCTGTTGAGTGATTTTGTTCGAGGTAACTGTTTTTACATTGTCTCAGGCAGGTTAGATATCAAGCAACGTCTACTTAGACTGATACATTTTGAAAAATTAAAACTTGTGTTTTGCTTAAATATCTGATCCTTCTGCTAACACAATTTTGGTTGTTTATAGCATATCTTTTAATGCGATAAAAACACTAAATAATAATTTTGACTATGTATTGATATGTAATTTACGGTGGTGTAAGGTGCTGGAAAAAGTTTTAAAATGGATCTTGAAAGTGCTTGAAAAGTGCTTGATTTTGACCTTGGAAAAGGTGTGCGAACCCTGTATACAGTAGCCCAACAAAGCCTTGTTTTTGTTTTGGGAAAAAAAGACTAATTGAAACAAACGAAGGGGAATGAGGGTTGTTTGGTTTCTTTTATTAACTAACCCTAACCCTGCAATACCTCATATCTGTCTAAGGTTGCGTTCACACTGCGGGGCCATGATGCTCAATTCCGTTTTTTTGTGTTTTTTGCGTTGGCGTTCACATTTCCAAATATATGCGACTTGTATGTGATCTCCTGCGTGAACTGCAGTCATACAACGCAAGTGTCCCGCATGCGCAGTAGAGGACGCAATGACATCACAGGCTCTGTGTTTACAGAAGTAAACATAGATGTTAGTGCCGGCGCGCATCTAGCGATCTTTCCCAACCTTAAAACACAATCCTTTCAAGATCGTAAATCATAAATACTGCTCTCGGCATCATCATCTTCCACCATGGTTGTTGTTTTTTTGCCGCTTTTTCATAGCAAGACTCAGAATAGCGACCTTTGTGGGGTATTGATTGCGTTCAGGTCGGATGAATGCGACCTGGCTGTTAAGACACGGGTCGCATTTGAAAAGATCAGATCCATGTCGCATATGGGCCAAAAAATCACATTTAGGTCACTTCAGGCTGCTGTTTGAACATAGCCTAAGAGAATTATTGGCCTGGTTGAACAAGTGAGGTTCTCAGGGGCTACGATGATATGCAGGAAGGAATCAACTCTAGTGTGGAATTGTAGGTTTTTGAAAGCTGAAACCTGAGTCCACCCCCTCTGTTTAAGGTTGTTTATTCTTAACATAGATGGCTTCCTTCACTCCCCATCCAAACAACCTATCTTCTTTGTCCAAAATGTGGTCCTCAAAAGAATGTCCTTTGTCCATAAGGTGTAGATGTACCACAGTTTTGTCCGAAGAAATTCCTTTCGAAGACGTTTCGTTTCCCATCCAGGAAGCTTTTTCATAAAAAATGAAAATTTCAATTGAAAAAGTTTTCTGGATAAAAAGCAAAACGTCTTCAAACTTGTAAACAAAACCCAGTGGATTGTTTTTAATTTTCTTTTATGGAATGACTGCCCCGGATAACTGAGAATCTTTAGTAGCATTTTACAACAGGTTTTGATGTAATCTGAGATATTTAGAGACCCAAAAATATGTCCTAAAATACATAAATGTTCCAATAAGTATATGTAACTTTTAATACATGATTTTCTTTCATATTATTTTCTTATGAAAATGACAAGATTGTATAAACTTCACTTTTTATGCAAAGATAGAGTGAAGTAATGAGATGTATTTTTCAGGGGTTTAAAGTTTGCATTACGGTGATTTTTTTGGGGTCACAGTTTAAAATGTTCTAGAATATTATCTGACTTTCAGGCCCTGCTGCTCTTTGACCTGTTAAACGGTTGATTAGGGGAAGCCTTAGCCTGATGATTGACTTATTCTCTTCAGATAATTCAGTGGGAATAATCTAACAGGTATGAAGGTAACAGGTCACAGTGTGGCATCTCTAACCAAACATCAAAGATGAAACCGTCTGAAACAGATTGAGGTTTCCGGTTCCTGTGATGTTGCTGAATTCTGTCGTCAGAATGAAGTTTGGTGCTGATGTCGCATCGCTGACGTCTGTTTCAGGTGAGCACGCCAGCAGTGAAGCAGCCGCCTCATTCGCAACCCCCGTCTCAGCAGTCCCTATCGAGCGAGAAGCATCACGGTCACGACGCCACCACGGCCTCGCCGCGCGCGCTTCAGCGCCAGAGGTCAGTACGCACACATCGAAGCAGAGCTGACGGAATGCCGTCGCCCCAGAACTGGACTGTTCCCTATTTCCTGTTAAGCTGTGCTGTTTCAGCTTATTTCCATTCAGCTTTTTTTAAATGTTCTCTTGTTGCTCCCCCTGCTGGTCATCTGTGGAACTTTATTTGCTCTGTTGGCCTTCATTCTTTTAAGCCTTTCTGCAGCTCCGTCTGGGTGGATTTTTCAAGAATTAGATCAGAGCTGCTGCAAGTGTTTCCTATCAATTTTAATTTATTTTAAATAAAATACAGCTTTGATCTTTTTTCTTTGAGAGCCAGATCCCATCAGATGGTTCAACCTTACAGATCAGGGTCTGTTCTTCTCCATCAGACTCAGTTTGGGTCGTTGTTTTTGTTTACTAGCATTTTTGACCTCATTACAGTTAAAGATTAATCCAGGTATCCTTGCCGAGTTCCATTTATTTATATAAAGCCTTATAAAAAAAAAAAAAAAAACAATCACTGTGCTTTTATTGATAACACTATGAGAGGTTATAGAGGGCTGCTTTATGTCATATTTAAAGGTCTATTTTAGTGAGACTCCTTTAAACATAGATGGTATTAACATACAAAGCTTCTTCAGAACAAGAAGGTTGTACTAACAGGGTTCCCGCGTCCTTCAAAATAAAACTAGGGCCTTAATTGGTATTAATAGTCTTTCGTGGGTCTTATATTTTAAAACATCATAAATAGGATTATTTTTATTACGATTTATTTTTGTAATCTTAATAAAACATTAAAATAGAAATTTTTTTTTATTAAAAAAAGAAAAAGAAAAAAAGCGGCTCTCCATTATTGGTTCTGTCCCGATAGCGGAACCAATAAAAGCATTGTTGCGGCCGGGACATTAAGACTTAGCACTGGTTATGTTGTGGCTTTAAAACTGATTAGTTTTGTTCCCTGCTAAAACAAAGTTTGTGAATCCAGTTAAATAATTGTTAAAATATATCTTTGATTTGTGTGTTTTTAGCTTTCTTCCTGTTTGGGAAGAAAGCTAACCACTACACTAATGTTTCAAAATTTGAAACATTAGTGTAGTGGTTTATGTTAAAATTAACCTTTGGGTTAAGTTGTCGCAAGCAGGTTTTTCTTGTTTCTTGTGAATTTGGTCTTAAAGTTTTATTTCAAGTGGCATTAAAAAGTCTTAAAAAGTCTTGAATTTAACTTGCCTTATGCTGTAGGAACCCTGGTTCTAGATTAGATTTGGAGAATTAGTGTTCTCTGTGTACATTCATGGGTTCTCTGCTTCCCCCCCCCCCCCCCCCACACACACACACACACACACATGGGTCGATGGATTGCTTTAGTTTGTCTAAAGCGGAGGTCTTCGACAGGGGGTGCATGGGGGTCGCAAAAGTTTTGGTGAATTTGACTCTTTTTTTTTTTTTTTTATACCCCCCCTGCAATTTTTTCCACTAATTGAAATGTCTTTAAATCCACATTAACATGAATTCATCACATTGTAGAAAACAGATAAACGGAGGCAGAAGATGTCTTTCAGTCATCAGTGCTCACATTCAGCGACACACAGGAGCTCTTTCAAGCTGGGCACCGTTTCATTCACAACACCCGTCCCATCAACCAGGAATCAGAAATACTTTAATAATCCCAGGGAGGGATTACTTTCGTTACATTACTCCATCTGTAATATAGTGACTATAGAACCAGTTTGATAGAACATAATGATGAGAGGTTATAGAGGGCTGCGTCCTCAGAGTAAAGTTTCCTGTAAGTAAACATTAAATACACTTTACTCTGTTTCTGGCTTGTTTAACCATCTCAGGCTCAGATTAAGTTGTAGTTGCAGGAAAAATCTGATATTTGGGACATGATCATATGGGGCAGTAATATACAATTCAGACTTTTTTTTGAGAGAGAGAGACCTTCACATTAGGGATGGAACGGTTTATGAAAACCGTCCGAACCGTTCAGTTCGACTGTCTCGGTTCACGTGTGTTGCGTTCGGTTCATGAGCTGCTCCTTTTTCTCATAGGCGAAGCGTGTACACTCCAGAGCAGAAGGTGGCGGTACTGAGACCAAAGCCAACCATGACGGCGGAAAGAATGTTGAGGATAAAAGTGCAACAGTGTGCAAGCATTGTGAAACACGTTTTTTTATGCTAACAGCAACACGACCAACATGTCAGGCTAACAATCAACATATACCGAACCGAAAACTGTGAACCGAACCGCGGATTTTGTGAACCGGTCCACCCCTACTTCACATGCAGTGAATTCTGGGATATTGCAGATTTGCAACAGTGGTCCGGAGTGGTAAATTATCACTGGAGATTGAATCTGATATGAACATTAACTTTATTTGAATATCACAAACAAAAAATTAACAAAACAAAATTCTAAAAAAATGTCTCACAAAATTAGAGACAACTTTTTCTCCACCGACATTTGTTAAAACCTCTTGAGAAGACAGTTTCTGTTAAACTGTTGGCAATATAGGCAAACTAGTAGATAAAGCATGTAGCTTTCATTGGTACCTGTCTGGGCACACGTTGCGAATCCACAACATTGAAATCAAGATGCCTCTGGTGAAAAACCCAGAGGAGATAAAATCTACTAACTGGCATGTGTCATATCTAAACACATTCATGATTCATCTAATGTAGTATTGATTTCAAAATAATGCAAATTGGTAGTAATACTTATATGAAATTGGTGCTTAGAAAGGACTCAGCCATGTTGAAAGTGAGTCAGCAGTGCCCTCTGGTGAGCTGGAGAGAAACTGTTTGTTGCAAATGCACAACTAAGTCCTTCTGTTGTACTTCTGAGTAACAAAAGCTATTAAAATATGGATGTTGAGTATTAAGCTAAGTGGCATTTAGCTGTTGCAAATCTGCAACATCTGCCTGGAGAGGGTTAAAACACATGGCTCATGTTAATGATCAACATGTGATGATGGGAGGTGAGCCCAAAATGACTTATTTGTTGAGATTTTTAGAAATTGGATAATGGTTTCCCTGGTTTCTGACTGAATAAACACTGACCTATATTTGAGGTCAGGTTCCTGTTTTTCTAGTTTTGGGAACGTTCCTAGTTTCCCTGTTAACAGATGAGGACTGTGAGAAACGCTTGTTAAAGTTTGCTGACGTTTTGTCCGCTGCAGCAGTCAGAGGAGTCCGTCTCCAGGACCCAACCACGTCGCCTCCAGCAGCAACACCTCCACCTCTGCCTCGGCGCCCCCCAACGCCTCGGCGGCCCGACCTTCCTGCTCCCTCACCCCCACGCTGGCCACCCACTTTAACGAGAACCTTATCAAACACGTGCAGGGATGGCCCGCAGAACACGCAGAGAAACAGGTCAGTTCTTAAAATCAGCTTTTTTTTTTTGGTTTTTATCCTTCCAACCTTTATTTTGGTGATTTTTAACATCCATCATCAAACAGGCATCCAGACTACGCGAAGAAGCTCACAGCATGGGGAGCATCTGCATGTCTGAGAACTGCACCGAGCTCAAAAACCTGCGCTCTCTGGTCCGAGTCTGTGAAATCCAAGCCACCCTGCGGGAGCAGAGGTAAAAAAAAAAAAAAAACGCCGCCTTCTCGCCCGCTCCGCGTCTCATTCCTGATGTCTGATCATCCTCTCTCCGTCTCTCCCACAGGATATTGTTTCTGAGACAGCAAATCAAAGAACTTGAAAAGTTGAAGAATCAAAATTCCTTCATGGTCTGAGAACTTTGGGGTCGAGAGTTTGTTGTTTTGGGGGAGGGGGCGGGGAACCCATTGCACAGAGCGGTTGTTTGGTTCCTCTCAGAGCCAGTCTTAACAGAGCTGGATTGGACCGGGAGAGGTGGAGGTAGGGGAGGGTTGCTTTACAAGACTTAGTTTTGTAAAAACCCGCGGTGTGTTTAACGGGGGGCGGGGATGTAGATTTCTTGTAGATGTTATTATCTATGTTGTAAATATGTTTTGTAGATGGAAGCCATGGAAAGCCATGCTTATCAAAAGCTTTGGACATCCAGACTAATCAGCAGTCCTTCATCTTTAACTCATCTGCAGACTTCAAGCTTGGTTCTGTCACTCGGCACGTCACCCAACCGTTGGAGGGGAGGGGGGGCTAACAGTGGTTCAGTGGTCCGTCGGCAGCTTCTGGTAGCCCTGCATTAACCAGTCTGAAAAGAATCAGTGCCTGGTGGTTGGTGAAGTGAGTGATTATTTAAAATAAAAAAACAAAAATCAGTGGTGGGATGTGACGGCGCGCTGCTTTGGACCATTTCCCGCTAAACTCTCCCCGCCCCACCTCTTCATCCGACGCATCCCTCCTTTCTGTGTTGTGCTTTATTTTCTTCTCCTTTTGGGTTCCCGCTGTTAATGTTCCTCCCTCCTCCTCTTTGACTTCTCAAGTTGAGGTTGTACCTCTTGTTTTCATTCCTTTGTACAGTTGCTAACATAAACAGTGGAGTTTTAAGAGAGACAGAGTTAAAAAAAAAAAGGTTTTATTTATAAGAGTTGTAGTGACGAGCAGTAAATCACAACGATAGCCACACATTTTCACCAGCGCCCGGTGGAGGAGCTGTAGTACGGCTTCAGCAGGTCCAAGGCGGGTGCATGTGGAGCACCTCTACAGTCAGCGCAGGGCAACGAGAGGTCAAAGCTCAAATGTGAAATGTACGTATTGTAATAAACATGTTAAACTGAAGCTAGCCCTGTTTTTATTGGATGTGTGATATTTGGTTGTAATAATTGTAGGGCTGAAAAAAATGGCCTTAAAATCTATATTTTGTTGTACTATCCTGATAACGATGATTATAACACCCTTTGTTCATTCTTTAAAAACTATATATTAGTATATCAGTGAATGCATCCCCCCAGTAATCAGCACCACAATCAAAACATTACTCTTGAAAACCTACAAACTCAAAATGGGTTTCTTCAGGAGGCCAAGTGCATAAAGAAGTAAGATTTATAACACTAAAAATCCCGTAGTAACTGCATTGAATTTGCTTATGGATTAAAAGATGAAAAATATAAAATCACTTAACCTTTTTTTTTTGTCACTAATTCTTATTCATTTAGATGATTATGATTCAAAAGTATTGTGATGATAAAATAAGTTTCTGATGATGAAAAGAACCAAAAGAAATTTCAATTAAGTGAAGTCAAGCGTTCTGCTGACACCTGGTGGTGCTTTTGCAAAGCTGCAGCTGGCTGGAAGTCCACAACTAAAACTGGTTCTGATGAATCTCCACCAATTAGAATAGTACTTTTTTTTTTTTTTTCTTAAAAAAATTGTTGACCTCCATAAAATAGGAGGTTGAAAAAGGAGATACATTAGAAAAATATATATATATATTAGGGATGCACCATATTGGGATTTTGGCCGATATCCGATATGCCGATATTTTAAAACTCATGTAGCCGATAACCGATATCGATACTGATGTTAAAGCTGGACAAAAATAAGTAGTCATTGAAAATAGCAGTTTTGTTATCCATTTCTGACACTTTGAAAAATAATATACTCAAATATATTTTCATATACTGATATCAAATTGATTTTTAAAAACGCGGTATCGATCTATTTTACTTTCAAAATCTCGTGAAATTTCATCGTTCTGTTTCAAACTCTCGTGATATTTTGCCAATTCTTGTGAGATTTTGTTAGTAAAATAGATCGATACCGCGTCTATATATCAACATATAAAAATATGGCAAAATTTCGTGAATTTTCGGGGGATTTCGTAGCATAACGATGACATATAGCAATATTTCATTAGTAAAAGAGATTGATATGGTGTTTTTAAATGGCAATATATCAGCATATGAAGATATTGGGATATTTTAATGTATCAATATTTTTTCCCTCGTCTTTAGAAGTTTTTAAGTCTGTAAAAAAGAAGTTTTTGAGGAAGAAGAAGTAGTATTTTTATTTTTTTTTTAGACTTTAGAAACTCAGACGCTGATCAAATATCGGGTTAAATCGGTGGGGGGGCAGATGTCCGATATTCAGTTTTAAGGCCGCTACCGATAGGGGGCCGATTATATCGTGCATCCCTAAAATATATATATATATATAAAAACATAGGTTAACATTTCTCCATCTACTCCAAATGTATCTCAATACAAATAAGAAATATAACTTTAAATTGCAAAGTGCTCCACCATATAAATAACACCCTAAAGCATTTAATTTAAATTAAATGTTTAGGAATAACAAAATTTGACATATAAATGCAGAGTAAAGTAATTACATGTACCCTGTGTCTTGCAATTTTTTTTTTTTTTATTTTGCAATTGCATAACATCTTGAAATACCACCTCCCCCCCCCTAAAAAAAAAAAAAAACAATATTCCTTTGATAAAGGTGGAAAATATTTCAACCTGAGGAGGAGAGAGACGTTCCATTGAAATTTTAATGACCAGCAGAATTCAGAGCTTGTATGTAGAAGAAGGGCTGCCACTATATATAAAGAGGAGACACTTTTAGGACTACGAAAAGTATTGATACCTGCTAAAATGACAATGGTGTCAGTGTTATTAATTGATCTACAGGGGGAGTTTTCAATAGATGGGAGGATTTTTTTCGTTTTGTCTCATAATGTTGAGGTAAAAAGTGAAACAGACTCCAAGCTGCTGAAATAGGAGTGAAAAGTTAAACCTTGTAGGTATTATTACAACCAATATATATCAGAACTTTCTTAACTACAAAAAAATATTGTATAAAGTTTGGTGAAATCCTGCTTTTATGTAAAAGGAACAGCAGAAATCATTAAAAGATCCACTATTACACTGGAAAAACAATCTAGAAATAAGTAAAAATTTCTCAAATTAAGTGAATTTACCCTTAATTTGAGTAGGTAAATCAGATGATTTGCCAATTGAATGAGTATTTTTACTCTGGGAATAAGGTATTTAGATAAAATGCACTTGAAATAAGACAATGTAATTGTGTTTTCTTATTTTAAATGTAAATTGTCTTGTTCCATTGGCAAAATATGTCTTTTACCTTCTAAATTCAAGAACAAATGCAATTATTTTAAGAAATAATGACTTATCTAGATTTAGATTTTTTCCAGTGTAGGTTTAACCCTTTAAGTCATTAACAGAGCAAGAACAGGATCCCATCGTCTCCAGGCCTGACATCCATATCCAACCTGAGTTAAGAACATTTCAGCTCATTTTTCTTCAATAAAACAACTACATTTGTATGTAAAATTCAGGTTTTTCACCATTAAAGACATGTGGAATCGTTTTTTTTTTGTTTGTTTATAACTAAATACCTTGTGTCCAAAAAAGCAAATACCCCAAAAGATTGCTTTAAAATACATGAAACTGATTTTTTTTTTTGTACATATGGTTTTCTGCAATAATCAGACTTTGTAGAAACCTCTTAGTAACCAGGGACATTCTGTCTACTTCCTAAGGGGTCTTAATGAAATAAATACTGTGCTCATTAGTTTACATCCTCTCAGAGTTAATATATTTTGACACTTTGTTTTTTAGAAAATGTTTATTATTACAAAGAGACTCTTATTTGCAGTGTCACAGAGCCTTTTAGAGTTAAATATCAGATTTTCTTCTCAGAAACTCACCTTTAAATGACTGAACAGCTGATTCTCTGCCAGCAGGGGGCAGCATCACTCTTCTACCTTATATGATTAAATTAGTTTTTTATTGAGTAGCTCTTACTTTTTCTTGTATGTCTTATTCTTTGCTGTTATTATTGAGATGATCGCCTCAGAAATCAGGACTAAAGGGGTTTTTCTCCTTCCGTATTTTCAATTTTAGTTTTAGCAAAACAATGACAAGTTAATTCACTGTGAGCATAGTTTGATAAACAAACCAATAAGGTAAAAATACACATAAATAAAAAGGGGGAAAAAAATAGTACTAGTTTAGATGATAAAAAAGAAAAGAAAGTTGGATAGAAACCAGTTTCAAATGCTCTAAAAGTGGCTCCATACAGTATAGAACTGCTGAGGTCAACCTGATGCATCAAGTCTCATTTTTTCAAAGAGCAACAATCCTATTAATTCCCTGAGCCAAGATTCAAATTAAGGTGGAACCATCAGATTTCCATCATTTAGCTTTAGGTGATCACTGTAGTCAAATTATGACCCGATTCTAAAAGGAGCTGTTGTACTTCAGGGTGGATATTTATTTTAGATGCACAGGAGTACTATAGAAATATTGAATACCAGGAACCCTGGATGCTTAGGCTGAGCTAAGTTGGTGCTATCCGGGATCTTCTATCTGCCACAGAGGGGACGCTTGTGGGAAGATTTTATTTAACGTTACTTTGAAATAGTGCAATCTGAAGACGGCAAAAATTATTTAAAAAAATAAGTAGAACTTTTTTTTTTTTTAAATAAGTGTATTGACCCTTTTATAAGCACAAAATAAGATTATCTGTCAACAAAATTTGTTTCTTGCCTTTAAAGCTGTACTCGAGTTGAGGTGTTATCACCCTTCTCAAAAAAAATTTTTTTAAATCCTCTCCCTTCTTAAATGACCATTCCCCCATACCATTTTTTATTATTTAACAGTTTATTATATTTATTTTATTATGTCATTTTATTAACGAATGTAAAATTTCTACTAAACTATACATTTCTATATTTTAGATATATATGCAATAATATTGTAACCTGACTCCGCCAGATGGATTTGCTCCGCATATCCATCTGGAAACCTTCCGTTAAAGTAATTTTGGGAAGGGGATAAAATACTGGTTTGCTGATTGGCCTATGTTGGTGATAGACGGGCCAAATAAACCAATCAGATCAACGAAGCATATGACGTACTAACAGAG